GTTTGCTTCTCGTCCCTGTGGACAATCCTTCTCTCTTCTGTTTTTTTTTCCTTCCTTTTTTTCCTTCCCCTCTGGTTGCCTTCTATACACAATTCCACGAGTGACGAGATTCCCCTCCTGCTTGCCGCTGTCACCGACCCATCCACCCACACACGCGGTGGCGGCGGCTTCGTGGCTGTGCGCCCCGCACGGAATGCCCAAGTGAGGCACGAGGCCGCCGCCACCGCGTGTGTGGGTGGGTGCGTGTGTGTGCGAGCTTGATCAGCTTTGTTTTCGTTTCTTTTTCGTTATTCACTTCGTGCGGGCGGTGCATATACACGCTCACAGTCCTCTTGTGCTTCTGGACACGCATAAAGAAACTCCTGCCGAAGTAATTTTGTTTTATCTTTTTGTTTGTTTTTGTTTCCCCGAGTCCTGCTGGGCTTCCGCATCTTTGTCTTGGGGCTAATTTTTTTTCTTGAGGTAAATCGCCGCGGCTCACGCTGAGGTTGTGCGCCGTGTCTACCGCTGCTGCTGCGTGTTTCTGCGTCCTGTTTGCCCCCACCGCCGCTGGCTGTGCCGCCGGCACTCCTCCATTTCATTCTCCTCCTTCTTCCCGCTAGCGGCACCGGTAGTCCACGGCGAAGACTCTTTTTTTTTTTTACTTCTCCGCTGCGGTGGCGCGGGGAGTGGCGGGGCGTGCGGCCGCCGCTTTCTGCGCCCGGCGCGGCGGGAGAGAAGATACGGGTTGTGCGGGTGCGGCGTGTGCCTCATCGCGGGTGCGTTGTACGGCTGGCGTGTTTTCTCCGCGCGCCATCTCCCCGCACAAGGGGGGCGTTGCCCTTCGCCCGCTGCCGCGGACACCCGCAGCTTCTTTGGCGGCAGAGGCGGCCGACAAGAAGAAGAAAAGGAGGGGGTTTAGTAGCAGCAGCTTGTCCGCGTACGCCTTCGGGTTGTGATGGTGTGGGTGGCGTGTCGGCTGGCAGCTTTGTCTCGCACACGGGGGGAGGGGGATAGAATTTGAGAGACGCCGGCGAAGCAGTCCGGGGAAGGGAAAGAAAATCTTTCAAGAGCTCCCCCGATCGAAGGTTTAAAAATATTGGGAGCCACGGCCCCGGCGAAACTTCAGGCCATGGCGCCGGCGCGAACGTTGCGAAATCCGCCTTCGGCGCCCTTGCCCTCCCGGGGCTCGTTTTCCTCCTCGTGATTCCCCGGGCGCCTCCGAAGCCCGGCACCCTGCGCCCCCCAGCGCCGCCACTCTCGCGGCTTCTTGGGCGCCCTGCTGTTTCTTCGCAACTGGCCCGCCCCAAGCGCCGAATCGCGGAATCCCCACGCGATCTCTGCGGGGCCCTTCGGGCCCGACGGCCGCCAAACGGCAAGCAAACTTCTGACCAAACCCGGGGGCACACCGAAGAAAAAAAAGCAACCTTTTCAAAGCGCCGGGGCGCCAGCCTGCAAAAAGACCATGCTGGCGTTGCGAAAAACTTTCGTCCAAAAGGAGCCCCGGCGTGGGCGATCCGGTGGGGAAGTGCCTGGGGCCGCGGGGCGGCAAAAAAGGCAGCAAAACAACCAAATTTGTGGCAGCCAAAGCGCCCGCGTTTTTTTAAGGGCGATGCGGGTTGCTTGTGGAGGCCCCCGCCTCCGGCGGCCAGAATGGCTGCGCCCCGCGCGGGCAGGGGCGTGTGAGAAATGGTGTTTCTCCCCCGTTGGGGCGGGCGCCAGGTGGCGGCCAGGCTCGGCCGGTTCCTGGAGGCCCCGGGGGCGATGGGAGAACGCGGCCCGGACCACGGGGCCCGGCCCCGCCCGAGAACGATAAGCATCACACACGCGAACGCCAAAGAACAGCGCGGCACAGTGAACAAATGCTTCTGGCGGCTGGGCTCTCGTGGTGGGGCCCCGTTGTGGCCGCGGTTTGGGGGGGGGGGGCGCGACTGCGGCCCGCGCTCAAGCGAGAGGCTCGCGGGGCGGGCGCAAGCGCCGCGCCCGCCGCAGGGAAAATAGGGAGGCGCCGGAGACAATTTACGCGATTCTCTTTTTCTTCTGCTTCCAATTCCGACCACCCAGCCGCTGCAAATATAGCTCCCCCGCAATTCCATAAGAACTGCGGCAGTCACGCTTCCGCCGCCGCTCGGAGGAAGCAGAGCTAAAGGCCCGGGTTCTCTCAGAACACGCTTCGTCGCACAATAAGTTGCCGAGGCTGACTAATTACAACCCGCGGTTTGTTCGGTAGGAAGCGCCGCGAGCAAGAAGGCGCAAAAGGTCGAAGTCAAGAATCAAAAACCAGGAAAAAAAAATAAGCAAAACAATAAAATACAGGGCGCTGCCTCCACCCAACGGACGGGCGACGCCGTCCACGCGTATTTTCGCCACGGACGGCAAACGGTTCAGGGCTCGGGAGGCCGAGCCGGCCGCAAGCGAGCCGAGCCAGTTGCTTGCTGAACTGTCGAGCTCGGGTGCCTCCAACCCCTCCAGGCCAAATTTGGATTGTCCGGCCGCACAGGGGAGCAAGTGCCCCGGCGTCTCCTCGCACCGAAAGTTGGGAGTATTGCATAGTTGCGGTGCAATGGGAATACGCGGC